GATAATTTGGTGCAGTTGGGTTGAATCTAAGGGGACAGTGGGACCTAGGCTGAGAAATGTGTCTTATAGTTAGTATAGTTTTATACATAAAGCATCTAACCATCCTCCATTCATTTCTCTGAAAGATTTTGGTTAAGATGAGGCAATGGTGAATCACCATGAAACTATGGTCACCAGAGTGTCCCTTGACCTTTGGTAGTCCCACCAGCAGTTTCCATTTATACAGTAAATTACAAAAATCACACTTTATCGATAGATTCAGTATGAACTGACTTTGTTGATAGTCTGCCTTTTCCATGAAGCTGACATTTTGGTTTAGAGTAAAAATATGGTAGTTTAATTGGTGTATTACCTTCCAGTACAACAGTAAACATTGTACTTACTGAGTTGCTAGGTGTTAACATTTAGCTTGGAGCAGAATGTGGTGGGTAATGTTGTGTTTCCTGTTCAGCCTCCTGTTGCATCACTGATACTTTAAATCAACACATATTAAAAGTTTTTTTTCACACTAGCAGACAGCATGGCGTTGGGGTGTCTGGTGCAGAGCAGAGCAGAACGTTCAGTGATGTTCAAGGGATTTGATGACGGAAGCTAACAAAATAAAGGTGTGGCTGAAAGTAAATGTTGATATAAGTTATATTTATGTTCCAAGTTATCAGAGTGTGACTGTTGCATGAGCCATTGGTAAGTAGCACAATATGTATAAACATAGTACAATAACAACAAAGTATTTCACACCATTTAACTTGTAATCATCGTAAGGTCATGAACCATGACAATGCATGAATAAGAATAATGCTGTGATAGTTTCAGCATTAGTTTGACAGGCTTTTCCTCTGCAGTGCTGCAGTTACGTGAAGCCTACTGCAGCACATTAAACATATACAGCAATACTCAATGTTCAATAGTGTTTGCTATAGTGTACAGTGCTGTGTGCATAGTCTTTTGTTTGAAGATTGTGTTGAGCAATCCCTCAGGTAAGGTATGTGAGGCGTGCACGCTGCACTGACAGCTTGGAGTCTAACTTGTTGGGTATGCGTTTTTAGCAAATAACTCTTGGAATCCTGAGTGTCAGAATCCCCTGCCGAAACATTCAGGTCTAAATGTGAAATACATCAAATGAAAGAATGGTCTTTATGCCACAGTAATCTGAAGCTTACAGCACATGCATAAAGATTTTACTCTACAGATATAGAATAATCAGATAGAGCTTGAAATTGCCTATTTTTCAATTACACATGTCTATTGGTGGAGTGGAAAGTAGTGTGGAGTGCAGTGACAGGGTCGAGGCAGATGATTTAGATACATGTTCACGCAGCGCCAGGGACTCTACACCGAGAGCGGAGCCAATTCAAATATAGCACAGACTCTTGGGAAAAAGTTTCCTTGAAAAACATGATTAATGGCAGGCCAGCATGTTTCAGCGAGGCTGCATGGCGTGACTAATGCAAACAGGTTTTCTTAGGCAACACAGTAACCGTTTGCTCAACTGGCATATTCGGAAATCACATTTTTATTTCGGCTCCTATTTGACCTCATGAAGTAAAAAGCACCATAGTGTGTGCTGCGTTGCTTCCAGAATATATATTTGCTCACTTGAAATTTACAAAATGACTGTGGAGACTGCGACCAATCACACTGTTGTAAAAAAACTTAATTTCTTTACAGTGAACAGAAACTGGGCTGTGAAAAGCCAGAGGGAGACTTGTTTTATTGCATCAGCAGGAGAGAGTTGGCTGAGCAAATCTGAGGCTGCTCTTTGAGCAAACAATGATATAACGCTGAGCAAATACTGACAGTATCACAATGTGTAGCAACACCATGACAGTTCTGAGAACTGTTGGCTAATTTTGGTTCATATGGAGGCAAGTCCCCATTGAACTGCCTGGAATGTTCACTTTACCCTATGGAAGAATATCATGTAGCTACAGCGCAGTGTATTCAATACTAACATAGTATATTATAGTATAATCACTATTTAAAACACATTTAGCAGTTTTCTACTTTTGGATAACTTCAGAGGCTGCAGCTCTGTGAGGCCTTGATTCAAAAAATAACCGACCCCAGAGTCGGAAGTTGCAACTAGAATGACCCCTCATGTTGGAATTTGGACCCGGACTGTCGGAACCTCACCACCTCTCACTTAGAAAACCAAGATGGGCGCTTCGTGTATCAACAGTAGAGAGAGCTGTTTACTGTTTATTAGCACTTTTGTCTTTAAATCTGTCCTACACATCGCACTGTCCAATTACTGTCTGTGGACGTGTTACTACTGTGTTGGTAAGAAATGTTGCATAATGCGTTATTATGTTATCTGGTATTGTCAACAATGGCTGCTGGATAATGTAAAAGTTTTTCCAGTGCAACTGAAACTCTGTAAACTCCAGTTATTCAGGTGTGACATCATTCCGAGGGCCGAGCTCTGAAGTACAATAAAATGTTGCATGAGCTAATGCTACTGTACAGACTAGATATATAGCGAATAAACAGTGATGCTGATGGCTGATAGCCTGCAGTTGAGGCTGATGGGAATGTTTTGCAGGTATTTGGTACTAAGTTTGAAAATGGGACAAACTCATTTTATCATCTAACAAGGAGAACACAATGCTTTTATCACACCATATGAGGTTTCACAGACTTCAGTCAAGTGGAGGATCACTGATGGGAACATCTGTATTTAAAAAAAAACATTTAGTTGCGATATTTCACCAAAAACATTCAAACTTGTTAATCACAGGGATCTCAGATATTAAATCAGATGCTTCACTTTGGACCAGAGTTGAGGACGAACCAACCCCACTGTGGGATATTGCTATTCCCATTGACCCACACCACTATCTCCCAGATTTAGGACACAGATAGAAATGGGTTTGCAGCTCCAAACAGCAACAATCTATGTCAACAATTAGCATATCGTCTCTTATCAATACCAGCTCTCATCCGTCTTCACCACAGGAAGAAACAGGGGTCATAGGAAGTATGGTCCACAACACAAGTGGAAGACCATTGTTCGAACTCTCAACACTGATCAGAAAGATTTTATATCACTAGTTCTCTCTGGAGCAGAGACACTTGACTGATGACCTCCGAGTCCCTATTTAGCAACATCTCAGGGTGAAATTAGATCTCAGCAATATGCATAGGTGTAAATCCAGGGCAAGTTATTTCTAAATCTTCAACTTCAGGCGGAAAACTCCCAGCTCTGTGCCAGGCGACATCTAGTGTCTCTTCACTCCTCTTCACATTCCTTATTGTCAGAATTAAACAAACTGTTCCAATATCCCTAAACCTTCAACAGCTGAGGGAGTGGCAGGCTCCTCTGAACACATGACTGTTACCCTGAGCATGAATACTTAGAAACCGCAGACATGATCATGACTGGATGAAACATTCAGTCGTCTCTTGGAGGATCAGATGCCAGGGACCAAAATGTTCCCATTAAAGCCGGAGCTGCAAAACAAACAGAGCGAGGGTACAGAGAGGACCTGGTCACGGTGGAGGAAGAGATAACTGGGTCACCTGCCTGATGTCGAAAGACAAGACTGAAATTACCTCAGGTTTACTTGCGAGCCAAATGCAACTAAAAGTAGAACTTGTAGCCGAATCGTATTTGATTAAATTATCCCTGGTTAAAGGCTCTTGTGATTTCCGCCCTTGTTTCAGTTAATGTGTGCAACAGAGCCACAAGTTTCCCTTCAGATCCGGAGCAGTTTAGCTAAACAATGGATCTGATGATGAAAAGATATTGATTTTGCAAAGTGCCTATGGCTTGCACAAAGGGCTCCAAAGAACTGCAAAAGAAAGATAAGACAGATTTAAAGCTAAACAGTAATATTTGGGTCTAATTTCTTTTAGAAAGTGTATAACACATGCATGATGCTGAGCCTCAATATACACGTCATCAGGAAACGTTTTAAGTCTCAAAGTGAAACAAGAAGAGGTTAAAGTTTCTTGGTTGGGAGTGTCAGCCTTCCTCCTGCAATAAAGTTAACCACTGTTTTATGTTTCTATAACCCAGAGAATGTTTTCTGATATCAAATTATATTATAACAAGGTTTCTGCAATGTTCGCGTGATCAAACCAAATAGGATATAATTGAATATGTTTTTTGGGGTCATACTGGTCTCAGTAAGTAATTGTTGGTCATGTCAGTCCATCGGTTCAGAAATGAACTGACATTTGTGCAACATTTCTGTCAGAACTTCTGAATGTATTGAACAATATATATTTTTAACATGACCTGAACCTGGATATGTGATAAAAAAGAACATATTTTAAATGTAAGTTAAGGTTATGTGTGTAATAGTGGTAGAAAATGTATAAAAACATTATTTACAACCTTAGATTGAATATAAAGGAGGATATGACTCCTCCCCAAAAATGAAGCCAAAGCATTTTGATTGCCCCCTGGTGGCTGGCTGCAGTATAATCATATTTTCCAACATGGACATTAAAGTCAAATTACATGTTTTTCACAAATATGGTTTGTGTTGTTTAAGTTCATTCTTATTTCTTTTCTGATAAGTTTGGTTTTAATTCATTTTTTGATGCTAAAGAATTTGGTGAAACATGATTGACAGCTGAGTCTGACTGATGATTTGGTTGACAAATGTGTAGGATGCATTCAAATCTGATATTTTGGTTTTATTTCTAAAAAGTGGGAAGAAGTGGAGTCATATATATGCTAATTTGCATTATCTGTTAGCAGTTATATCCTCTCTCACATTATATGATGGCAATTGATACATTAATAAGTGTTACCAGACTTTATAAATCTTCCAGGCAATTTTTTTTAGAATTGACCTCAATGTCTTTAATACTTTTTAAGCCCTGCANATTCTTGCTTTTTAGACTAATCTTGTGTGACAACCACATTCATCACACTTTAGTTGCCCAACCGGAGTTTAATAGAGAGTAAACACTGCCATCTGCTGGACTGAAACTATGGAAACGGTTTAAATGTGTGCTAAGGAATAAAGAGCTCACACACACTTTTATCAAACAAAATTTTATTTTTCTTAAAACTTACAGGGCATCCAATTTGTTCTTTTTTTTTTCTTAATCAAAATGTGTTGATCAAATTTTAAATATGGATTCAACTTAGTGGCCTACAAATACACTCAATATCCCAGTTGTACAGTTTATATATGGCAACATTTCATGGAGTTTATTTGCTGATTAATATATATGATTTCATACATTTATATTAGGCCTCATTTTACAGGTCCCTTAATTCATCATTAACTTCATGTAAGTTTCTGGGAAAGAACCATGTGGTTTGTTTCTAATCACAGGAAAGAAAGACAAAGCAAAGATTGTTGTTTTAGTTCATCAGCAGGGTTCAGTATTGACCATGCTCTGAAATTTAATAGCAAATAATTAGCTCCATTTAAACGCCAGAGAATATTTGTTACTAATTTATTGAATTTATTTCTTTTTTTTTTCTGAACCTTTTTGAAGTTCACATTGTGCTTAACAAGGACCACATTTCCTATTCATGATGTGTGGCTCTGCTCAAAGCTAACAGTAAACAAGGAGTGACTTATTGAATAAGGATTTGTATTTGACACACAATTGGCCCCTCAGTGTAAGTTGTGTCCCCTTTGTGGCTCCAGATTTAGGAAAATCCTAGCTCTGCCACTGACTATCCAACCGTTGCATGATGTTTGTTTGCAGACACATTAAATATTTCTGCTCAGCTCAGCTGATCTCCTCTGAATAAAAGTCTCACAGTTGTTCTTTCTCAGCATTTACAAAAGTCATCACTCTATTTTAAACAAAATTACACAAATTATATGGTTCTTTCCATGAAACCTAGCAGAGTATTTGGAAATAAAACAAATTATTTTTTTTTTTTTTTTTTAATTGATTATTTTTGTAACATAACTCTGTTGAGGATGGAGGAACTGAACTAATGCAACACATGAGTTAAATTCCCTTGACCTCAGCGGACGTGAAGGATGTGGTCCGACGCCTTCCGACTATATGTGCCTTTGACATGTTACTGATTCAGTGGATTCATTTATACAATTTTATAATTACTTCTTATATGAACAGCTGTTTAGGTCCCTATAACACATGCTCTATTATGTCCATTCACACTTAAAAGCTAATTTCCCCTGGAACACAGAAATATTATCGCTCACACAACGGTGCCAATTGGAAAATTCTTTGGCGTAAACTGACCAAGTTTGTTTCTCACAGCCAGAACTGATTACATTCAGTGTGATTACCTTGGTTTGTGAGTAATTTAGAGAGAAATTAAAGATGAGGGGACACCAAAGGTCATGACCGCTGGTGAAGCAGAGGAGGAGGTGAGGAAGAGGAGAAGGAGGAGGTGGTTCACAAGTCTATGATCGTTTTTTTCTGCTCTCAAAGTTTCTGAAGTTGGCTGGTCTGATCTTCATCTCCGCAAATTCAATCGAGTGTTCGTGGCCCTTCCAGTGGAACCAGTTGATTCCCTGTGAAGAGGCAGAAAAACAAATCAGATGAAAATGTCTAAGATATCTAATAAACCCAAGTAGTTTGTCCCCACAATGTAGTTGTATGATCTTGGGCCTATATCATACATCCAACAGAGACTAGGGTATGAGATCTTAAGTTATATTTGACTTTATTTACTACAGAAGGTATAATGACATAGATTAGGGTGTTTCTTAGTCATTGTTTAATTTTGTACTTGTAACGACAAGTTAAAAGAAACATGTTGGAACCGTACGTACCTTACTGTGACTGTTGTCGCCGTATTTCCCCATGAGGTTGACGCGATGACAGTTTTTATACCAAAATGCACCTTTGTAGGACAAGGCGCAGTTGGTGACAGCGATATCGTTATCGTTGTCATAGGTCGAGAATGGTCGACCCTGGTGGTAAGTCATGGAGTCACCTGATGAAGATGAGAACTGATCAGTAAAGCTTCCATCTTCTTGTACCATTGACTCAATGCACAGAAACATGGGAGCTCAGAAAAATGTAAAAGCTCTACTGGAAAAACTAAACCAGACAAATAGAGAGTTTAACATTTTTGGAAATATACTTGTGAAATGTCTTTAGAGATGTTGATGAGAAAAAGCACTCATCTCTGTGTGTTTAGTACGAAGCTTTGCATAAAGACTGGAAACAGATTGACAGCTAACTTGGCCCCATCTGAAGGGAACACATTTTTCTAATCACTCCCTATCTTAAATCTAGTAGTGTGCTGGACGTGGGAGATGAAGTTGGACACACCACACTGTTTTGAAACTGACCCTGTGAGCCGCAGAAGCCGGGCTGAGCCACAGGACAACTTCTGCTTATTACCTTGGTTATGATTTTGTCTGTCTGTCTGTTAGTTAGAAGGATTTCACAAAAACTACTAAAAGGATTTCCACGAAACTTGGTGGAAGGAAGTGTGAGGAAAGAATCCAGGCAGTTTTCAACATTTTCTTTATTTCTCAGAGAATAATTTACAGATTCTGAGGAAAAGAAAAAGTTTGTTTGGGGACTGAAATTCATGATTTGCAGATCCAAATAAAAATCTGGAACTTCAAATATGGTTTCAGAAGGGGGCTGTTGTTGGCACCAGTATCTACTGAGTGCTATTCTAGATTATATTTAAATCATTTGACAGTAAAAGCAGGTTTCTCTGGTTTGTGTCGGGTGACCTGCAGAGGAAGGAGACCTGCTACAGATTCAGATTGATCCTTTTTCCTCACTATTATAAACTGAAACAATTTTTCATCTCCTAAGTATCATGCTTTGTGTGTGGGAGGATTTACTTTAAGTCTTTTTCCATTTTGTTATATTTGGCCTTTTCTCTGGGTTTCTGGTGTTTCCACTCAAGTATTTTGTTTATGTGCAAAGTAAAACTGCATAAAAAAACATGTGGATGGAAACTCACATTTATGACATATTGACATGCATATATGGATCTTCTCACCCATTAGGCATTCTTCCCAAAATGTACAACTACTCCTTTAAGTAGAACCTACCTGCTGTTCCACTGTATGCCCCTATGTAGATTTTATAACGTGTTCTTGGTTCTGCAAGCGTGAACTTGTCATACTGGGCGTAGGCGGTTTCCCCTTTGTCCCTCAAGTCCACTCGCAGCTCATAATGCCCAGAGGATGTCATTTTATAAAGGTTGGAGAGACCTGTAACCCAGATTTAATATGTCTGAGATGGTAATAAGAGAGAGGTAGAGAGATGCATAGTGAATAATGCTAAACGACAAGTGTTCTTACCCAGCCAGAACTCATCATTCATGTTACCAAAGCCAGCGGTGTAGTTCTTCCAGTTCCTGTAGAACTCCAGTTTTCCATTCTGGCGTCTGAGGGCAACCTGCGAGTGTCACAACAATTTTATCAAGCACGGCCGAGGTCACTGTGATGCTGCATCATTACAATCAGGTGCTACATAACTGGTTTGATCATATCTAACTCAATATGAAATATGGTGTCAAAGCGGTTGCTAAAAGCTTCCAGCAGGTTGATTTCCTCACCGTCCATCCTCCGCCATCTGTGGTCATGTCACAGTAAACCTGGATGGGCTGGCCCTCCTCTCCTCCCACATGGATTGTGTATAGACCAGAGGTCGTCTCTCCATTCAGATATATCTGAGCACAGTCCCTGGGTCGTCTGAACAACTGTCCAACTAAAACGCACATGTTAAAAAGAAATCATCTTACAGACCGCAGAGGACACAGTCGCTTTATCTTTATCGCTGTTACGTGAAAAATGCACAAGACTGTAAATGTTATTGAGTAAGAGAATGGACCTCGGAGAGAAAGAAGGTTGAGAAAAAGGAAAGAATGGAAAAAGAGTTTCCATCAGCAGATGCTCATGCAGAACGAAAAATAAGCCTGTGATGTGACTGGGATATCGAATTTAATGAAAAGAATTTAGGTTAGAAGTTCTAACTCTCTACTGTGCATCTGGACAGTTGCATAACCCTTCACAAGAGTAGCAAAAACAAGTGAGGTTTAAAAAGTACCTATCTTAGGTAAAAGCAGCTACAACACAGAATAAAAATACTGTTATTTTACTACTTCTAATATAATACTAAGTAAAAGCGCTGCATTCAAAATGATCAGCCAATGGTACTTAAAGGTAATCCAAAGTAAATGCCTTATTCTGGTCCATGTAACTGATGTATTCCTTTAGTTTTAGGAAGACAAATGGTCAAAGGTCAAATATAAATCTAAAAGGTTCAGAGATGATTAATGAGATGAACAAATAAATAAATAAATATTTTAAATGTTTGTGTGAATTATCAAATTATTTCACTTCACTGGATGTTTACCAGATATCAACTTGTAGTTTTCTGAGACAAGAAAAGCAGCTCAACTAGTATTTTTAAGGGTCAGAGGTGGGAACAAATTGTTTAATCTTGTTTTATAATCTCAACATATGTATGTTATACAACATCTTAATCTGAGAATGAAACTATAGATATTGCACTAAACAATGAAATATTTATCATTGAAATGTAATGGAATAGAAGTAGACAGTAGCATGAAGTGAAGAGTACAAGTACCTCAAAGTTGTACTGAAGTGCAATACATGAGGAAATGTTTTCATCTTAGTCCACTGCACACAAATGAATAAAAAAAAGTACATGCATGGTGTTTCATGCTTACTGGTCGTGAAGACAGTGGCTACATGCCGACTCCTCTGGGGCCCAGCGATGGCCTGCAGTTTTACACTGTACTCTGTGGAACCAGTGAGCTGAGCCATGCTGTAAGAGGAGGCTGTCGGGCTCAGCACCACTTCCTGAATCCAGACACACACACACACACACAGAAACACACAAGTACACACAAGGGATTTACAAAAAAGGCAGGACCATTTTAGAGATTCCACAACAACTGATAGAACAAATATCAAAGTCCTATAATTTTTTATTTTTATAGCTGCAATTTTATATTATATGCTGTAAAGAAAGCAACAAAAAGTGACTAGACCTGATTGACAAAGTGAAAATATTGTATTTTTCAATAACAACGGGCATCAAATCAGGTGTCAGTTTCAATAAGGGTGTTAATTTCACATTGGAATTAACTCAAAGTTACTTCTACCAAGAGGTTATGAAATCTATCTGAAAGTTAATGTCATGAAAATAATCCTCAGTAACATTAACAAGTAAACCACCATTGTTGACAGTGATGAACGTACCCTGATTACACCATCAGCAGAAGAGAAGGTGAGTGTGTAACCCGTCACAGCAGCCTGCGGAGGTTTCCACGTCAGAGTAGCACTGTCAGTTTGGATGTTTATAGCTGTCAGATCACGAGGAGGGTCCACATCTACAAATACAGAGTCACACTGCAGATTAATCTCTGACTGTGTCTGTCTTTAACAACATTTGCCTTCTGCAGCTGAAAATAACACATGGTGATGACAGTAAACCTCAACAGTTAAACTGTGGACCAGGCAGGTAAACAATGAGCTGGAACGCTATACATTTCTATAAAAGAGAACTATTTGTCAAATCTTCACAGTGTGTCACTACTTATGTCGCATTGCTATCACTCTCGATTTGAAAAAAATAAAAGGAACTAAAATATGTACAATAATGATGAAATATATCTTCTACATTATAAAGGTTCTACAGAATTCATGCAGACACGTCTCCTCTCTAGACTCACCTGTGATGAATTCAGTAACAGCAGATCCACTCTTCTGAGCTTCTTTCATGGCATGAACTCCAACTGTGTAGTGGGTTCCAGGAACTAAGGAGCCCATCTCAAACTCCACAGTGTTTCCAGAAACATGCTCCACCACCGGGGACACTGCAAGACAAGGCACACCCAGTTCATAAAATTACAGGATTAAAGAAAAGAAACACGATAGAAGAAAAGCAATGTCAGAGGAAGAGATGTTTCTTACACATATCACCCACTGTTACTACTGAGCTCCTGAAGAAAAACAACATTACAGCTAAACAGTGTCACCTGAATCTGCCCTGTAGGTGATGACGTAGCCATCCACTGTGGCCACAGACGGTTGCCACAGCAGCAGGGCTGACGTGTCAGTGACATTAACTGCAATCAGGCCCTGAGGTCTGTCCAGAGCTGGAAGACACAAACAGGAACACAAAGGGAGTAGCTTCGGTTATATTTTCTAGGATCTGATGCCAATGCACGTATGAGTTAGAGGGGCAGACACAAAGGTTACGAGAGTTAAATGAGAAAGAAACAAAGCAGACCTGTGGTTACAGTGTCTGTGCTGGGGTCGCTTTCCTCCAGACCTTTCACAGCACTGACAGTCACTTGGTAGGTTTTGCCAGGGATCATGTTGGGCAGCGCAACCTCAAACACACTGCCGTCCACAGTCACTGTCATTGGGCTTCCTGTGGAGTAGAGAGGACAAAGTATGGGCCCTGTACTAAAAACATCACATATCAAAATGAAGTGCTCAAATCAGCTAGAAATGCTTTTTCACAACCAACACTAAGCATCCTCACTCTTGTTGAAGGTTAAGAACAGATGATGTCACACCTTGTTAAGCCCTATGACACAAGTTTTGATTCGTGAATATGGGCTATTCAAATAAAATTTGATTGATAGAGGATTGGGCCAATATCTCTCCAATCTTCACCTCCCCTTACTGGATGCCAATTCAATTTAGGGTTGATTTTAAGATTCTTTAAATAACCTTTAAAGCTGAGCACGGTCTGGCCCCCAGTTATATAACAGATCAACACTAGTAGTTCCTAAGTGAAGGCTGGTAACTAATGGTGACTAAGCTTTTGCCATCAGGAACTTGAGGCTACTTGCCTAACAATTTTTTATAGGAAAATATTTTGATGTCTTATATTAAATAACAGTTTAAAATTGTTTCATTTTAATATTTCTTTTGGTTTTTTTCATCTTATGTTGTTTTGCTCCCATGCATTTTGTAAAGCACTTTGTAGTGTTGTTTGTACAATAGAAATTAAGTTGTCTGATTATGCATTTTAGAGGCTGCATATTTAGTGCACTTTCCATAAGTGAGCTGCACTGTAGTTCTTAGTCTTTATGAACTTTTTATCTCTAAGAAGAAATGCAAAAAACCTTTCATCGACATCTTACCTCCTTCAAAGGGCACATAGACGATGCGGTAGGTATCCATAGGAGAGGAAGACATAGACCAGTGAACTACGGCAGAAGAATCCGTGACTTCAGAGAAGTGAATTCCGCTTGGAGTGCTCAGGCCTGAATAAATGGATGCAGATAGAGAATTCAAGTGAATAAAATATTTCCAATAGAAAAACACAATTTTGGCTCAAGGGAACAACAATAACTTAGACAATGTCTCCATTAAACATGGAGCCTGAAGCAGAGGAAGAAAGATGATTAGTAGGAATGTGGGTTTAGTTCTCTGCAAACCTAAACCTCAGAAAGTTTAGTAGTTAGTACAGAACTTAACAGTCTGCAGTGTTTTTCATATACCTGTCTGAGCAACCCCAGTGATAGGTTGGGAGCGTTGGTCCAATGTGATACCATAAAGCTCAATTTCATACTCAGTGCCACTCATGAGTCCAGTTAAAACCATGGTTCGCTCGTCACCGCGGACACTGTACTCCTTAGGATGGGCTAGCCTTTTGCTGTCTCTTATTTTAATCACAAATCTGTCAAACATGTCTTCATCTGCCGCCCACGACAGACGGAAGCTGTCGGCAGTGATGTCAGAGACAAAGAGATGCTCCACCTCCGGCTCAGCCTCTGGTTAGACAAGGAAACAGAACGTTGTGTTGGTTTTGGTCTTTTCCCAGAAATAATCATCAACTTGTGAGAGACGGCCAAAGACATTGGCTCAGTTTGGAAGAGGTCAGCAGAAAGACAAGAAAGGTTTCCAGATGGCAAATGTTTCTGTCCACCACCATCTGTCATGCTCTTGCATCCGTTAGTGTAAAAGAGACAATATGGTTTTTACTCGGCGTTTATTCATGTCAGTTAACAGATTCACATTCTATAAAAGGCTCTATCTGATTTGTTGGAAGGATTTCAGCTAATTTTGGTTGAGACGAGGTCACCATGCGTCCTCAAGGCCAGCTGAGCTGCATTCAGTGCATTCGAAGACAAGGACAAAAATTAGATTAATCATAATAATGAGACATTTCATGCTCAGAGTGTCTGTGTGTTTTCCTGTATATAACCAATCAAAAATCCAGAGGAAAACACATTTTCAAATATGAAAACAAACATTTGCTTGCTCATATTTTGGAAGTATGAAGAACAAATTGGGAGCTCTACATCTTTCTCCTGGTGACGAAACTGCATACAAAGAAAATGTCTCGAACAAAGGGAGAGAGAGATGATTCTACAAAAGAGATAAGTTGTAAATCCGTGTTAGGGTTAGTTAGGTGAGCTGAAGCCTCACCATCGAAACGTGGCATTAATAATCAATAATAAAGCCAAATTTAAAGATATCTTGGTAAAACCTTTACTCGGTTAAATTATCATTAAAAGTGCATTGATATCACAGGATTATACAATTTATAGAGTAGCCAAGTTGTGATGGTGAAACTTTATATTCAGATCGTAAAGTTAAATGATTTTCAGTAAAAATGCATTGAGTAGTTACACTTTTTAGTAAGACGAGGGGCCTTGCACTGAACTGTGGGTGGTACCTGTCACAGCCACTGTATTCAGAGGCCGAGAGAGAAGCCCTGACTCTGACACCCCAGTCAGCCTGAGCTCATATCCTATGCCGGTGATGAGGCCCCAGATGTCCAGGTGACTCTGGTTCCCTGGCACAGTGAACTCCTGAGGCTCCAGCAGCCAGCCGGAGTCTGTCACCACTATATCAAAGTGGCTGAAGCCCCCACTAGAGGGGGGTGAATCCTCCTGCTGCCGCTGCTGCTTCACCTCCCACGACACACGGAAGCCGTAGGGGGTTATGTTGGAAATGGTCAAGTTTTCCACTTTAGGCAAAGAAGCTGGAGGGGAGCGGGTTTCATTGTTTTGTGAGTGGGAACAGATGTGGGAAAGGGAACGAGATTCCATTAGGAGCGTAATGTGTGCAATGGTTGCAAAAGCAAATCAAAAAGAGTCTGTTCTTCCTGTGAGGTTTTAAACTTCATAGGGACAAAAATAGGCATCTATTAAAAATAGAATACCTCCTGAATTTAAAGGCCAAACACATTAATGGCAAATTTGACACACATCATAGTGCTTTATATTTCTGTCACAGATAGTGGAAAGATTGATACGTCTCCTTTCTCACCCAAAGGTTTTTAAAGCTTAATTTAGAGACTAAGATTTGAGTTTTCAGTCTGAGCCATAAAACCCTAACACACGTTAAAAAAAGGGGGAGGGCTCAGAGTGAATGGAAATGTGATGAAACATCACCTCTGCTGCTTTGCCATTCCTACAGAAGATATTCATCACAACATGTGAAGATAAAAGCTTCAAATAGAATAATGAAGTAGAAATTTGAGAGAAAGCAGTTTGCTCTTCCTGAATAGAAATCAACCTAGACATCTAGTGGTCATAATTGTTAAGGCAACTCAACGCACCCCCTGCCCAGGCTTGTTTTTTTTTAATGAGAAATATGAGAAACTAATTTTAGTCGGATTCTTTCAAAGCTTTTAACAAAAGATGGTGTTTCTCTAACAGTCTGTTTATCCATGTCTCAACTTCTCGGCTTCTTTCAATCTTTAAAAATTTAATTAAAAATAACAGTGGCTTATAATGCAAGTCAAATTTGCTCTTAATGCATTTTGGATTTTGGCCCTACAGATAAAGAATATGTTTTGAAACTAAAATAATAACTTACAATTAATTAAAAAAAATAATTGGAAAACAATATTTTCTAAAAAGATAATCGATAAGTCAAATATTAAATAAATAAAAAATAACATACAATTTTTAAACAGTTTTCATTTACACGTACGAGTGATGGGATTTGAAAATATAAGTAAAATACATAGTACCTGTGATGGCGTGGGCTAACACAGAGGGAGTGTGGCGCCCGTGAGAAATACCATACAGTTCAATGTCATAGCCTGTGGCATCCACCAGGTTAGAGACTGTAATGTTACGGATTTCACCAGGCAGTCTGAACTCCAGCGGATCAGACTGCTGCTCGGAGTCACTGACCCGGATAACAAAGCCATCAAAATGGCCTGACACAGTGCTCCAGGACAAGCTGAGATTATGTGGACTCACAGATGAAGCAGCTATGGGCCCCAACTGTGGGAGATCCTCTAAATGAAAAACAGAACACGGCTTTTCAGTGAAGTTGTGCGGTTAACTACAACGCAACATTGTGTTTGATACATGCAGTGTTAAGAAGCGCGTGTGATGTGATACCTGTTGAAGCTATAGCAAATAGAGGCTGTGTGTTCTGGCCAGCAGTGCTGGCGTACAGCTTTATGTTGTAGCTTGTGCTCGCTTTGAGCCCGGCCATGACTGTGGAGCGCACGTCTCCTGGCAGAGCGCGCCCCATTGCCTGCGAGGGCAAAGCGGACTCCCTGACTTCTACTATAAAGTTATCAAAAGGCTTCTCTCCTGTCCGCCACGACAGAAAGAATCTGTCTGAGGTAATGTTAGAAACAACTAGCCTGGACAAATCAGGCTCTTCAGCTACAGGGGAGAGAAAATATAGTAGAGATTCATTTATTGCGCTAGAAAGCATATATTTGTATCTTTTAAATGTCCAGTGTATGCACACAGGCCAGAATTTACAATGAAGTTTACTTAATAGGAATATTCTAAAATTCTATTGATTGTAAGACGGAGGAAAAAAATCTAAATACCTGTTGATGCAACAATACTGACAGCACTGGTTCGGGATCCCTTGTATGTCCCATAGAGGTAGGCTATGTAATCAGTGCTGGGCCTGAGCCCTGTGACTTTGTAGGACTTATCATTGCGGGATATGTTACATTCCTTTGGCTCCATCAGCCAATCAGAATCAATTATCTCCAGGATAAAACCATCAAACTCTCCTTCAGTGGCGTTCCACAGGATTGAAAAGCTCTCTGAGGTTAAGTTTGAGATATAGAGTTTGCCAAGCACCGGCTGATTCACTAAAGAAAGAAAGCATTATTAGATTTTCATTAAAAACCACTCTGCAGAACACACATGTAAAACTTATAAAGAAGAAGTGTGACTGGTAGCTTGTTGGTTTGATTCATCAAATGAAAATATTTATAATGCTTCAGGACACTCACCACCACCAACTTGCAATTCCTGATAGTCTGAAGTGGCTTCATACAAGATTAAATACATGCCAAGGTTTTTGCATTAAATGCATATTGAATGTCCACCACCATTACTAACTAAGCAGCTTGAAATTTAAACCCTTTAAACCTATTTTCTTTCATAAAACTGATAATGACAACTCATGGACTACCACTCAAAGAGGAAAGACACAAAAAGCCGTCATGGTAAATAGGCGAAGAATACTGGCCTGCAAGTGTTGATTTAAATGTGAAAATGTGGTTAAGGAAGAAATAAAACAGGATAAAAAAATCTTTCTCATGCACATGGAGCAAGATTTGATCCGAGTACAGGATCAATAATGTGGCAGGAGGGCAGTTCCCAGCAGAATAGGACTGCCCCAGAGGAAGATAAACTGGCTAAAACATCTCTGTACATGCAACTATATAATCAGTAACATGCAAGCATGCAGAAGACAATTTAGGCATCATTCAGTTGTAAATCAAAATGGCGTTAGTTTTAACTGCAGATGAAATAGCATTTTACCTTGATATGGTAAAGAAGTTTTAATCATTTGCCACCTAGTAGTTCAAAAGGAAATGAGGATATTTACTGTGAAGTTCTGTGAAAATAAACTTCATCAGAATCGACAAAACTAAACTACGTCAGTATCATTCACACAAACTAACAGAGCTCAAACGCCACTGAAACTCACGCATACTGTGAGCACTTACTGAATACATTCACGGGCAAATGATCCTTCAAGGTTAATCAATTACACACTGAATGAGGGTTGATGGGACGGGATGAGATGGTCACGCTGTCACTGGGTGACAGGCATTGGAGGGTGGAAGTTATTGCTTTGCCTTTGCAATCATTGCAGCACATCAGCGTCAAACTGGACCACGATGCAGGGGATGACAGAGGGAGGGGGAGGGGGAATTGGGGCTTCATGCACTTTGGTAACTGGGATGGAGGCAGCAGTCCGGGGGTAAAGGGTGAACATTTGAGGGGCTTTTGCTTGGCTCGGTGATGAGGCACAGGCGCCCATCACCCTGCCCTCTCTCAGCGAGGCAGAAACAGTGGCTGGAGGGTAAAGATCGGTTCATGGCATGTTGGTTAGGATGAAGCAGTTCAATTCACTGTGGCTGAGTGTTGGACAGTCACAGGAATTAGGTTATTATGTTCTGGATTCATGCAGCGAGACGTCGACCCAACAGGGTGGGTCTTGTATGTGTGTGTGTGTGTTGGCTGCACAGATTCTAATTTAAATTGAAGAATTGTTAAAAATCCAAGAAAAGTAAGAATGTTAAAGAGTTAAAGAGGATAAAACTCTGCAACACTCGAAGTTGCAGGTACCTGTGGTGGCTTCACTGTACACAGGCTCAAGGAAGGAGCCATCATACATCCCGTACAGGCCAACCATGTAGCTGGTGTTGGGATTCAGCCCAGGGATGCCCAGGCTGAAAGCGTCTCCAGACAGCGAGAGGTTCTGGCTCTCTGCGAAATTCTCCAAGTTTGTTACCTCAATGACAAAGCTGTCAAAGTCCCCAACCATGGGGGTCCAGGACGCAGTGAAGCTGTCCCATGTAATGTCAGAGATGGTGAGGTTCACCACCATGGGCTTCAGCTCCTCTGGTAGATAAAAAGATCAGAGCGGGTCAACTGAATGGCAAGATGGATTATAAACATTACTGTCACACAAGGCACATTATTTATTTAGGTGAAAAAAATAAATTCATGAGATGATGGTGATGGGTTGTGATGAATGCAGTATCTGCTTCATGTACCTGTAGTAGCAAAAACTTTGAGAGGCAAAGATCGATTTCCATCCACCAGCCCTTGTAAAGTAACATCATAATGTGTCGAGGGGGTCAAACCCTCTATTTCAGCCTTCCTCACATTTCCTGGTAATGTAGTCACATGAGCTTGTGTCACCCCTGATGGAGAACTGAGCTCCACCATAAAGCTGTCGAACGCCTCGTTGGGCGCAGACCAAGCCAAGCTTACACTAGTGGAGGTAGCGTTTGTGACTTTTAAGTCCCCAAGTACATCCATGTTTGAGCTTTCAGCCCCTGAGCTCATCACAACAGTATCAGAGATGGAAGGAGGCTCAGTGTTTACAGGATGGAGGAGATCTGTGGTTTGAATTGTGTCATTATCCAGAGCAGACTGTGTGGTTGTTGTGGCATCTTTAATACTCAGCGTAAGTACGCCTGGAGAGGTAGGCTCGGGTGCTACAGTGAAAAAAAGCAGGTTAAAGTATTAAATGTGTTACTGGCTCTGCTGAGAAGTGAACAAGAAGCAACCTGCAAAGACAAACACAAATATTTTTGCACATAATAGAATAAACATAATTCCGGATTATTATCACTGTTTCTCAAGGATCCCAGTTTATATCTTAAAGCAACAGCTAAGGCATTAACAGCACCTGAGTCAGTGCTGTTAATTATTTGAAGGTTCTGAGTAGCCCACCACAGTGGAAGTACACAGTAGTCTTCATGGAAAAGCCATGCACAGCCATTACGTTCCTGCTGACCTAAAGACAAACTGTCCAGTCACTTTTTTGGCATGCGAGTGACGTGTGGTGTAATTTTCTCTGACTGGCAGAGAATCATCAAATTTTGTAAATGGGAAAGACTACAAAGAATGAGGTGGATTGAGATGGTAGTTTCCAGAGAAAGAAATGGTTGCATTGACAAGTTCAAATGCAAGAAGTAATGAGTGCAGCCAGTTCACGGTAACCCAAGCCAACAATGACTCAGGGAGAAGACTGTAGATTTCTTCCAGTGGTTGAATTTGTTTAAGCAAGATTTTGCAGCAGTGCGGAAGCCTTGAATGATAAAGATGAGGTTGAATGAGTTTTTGTGAAGGGTTTTTTTCATCATACTGTATCAGGCTATAGTTTACCGATGATGGTTAGCCAGCATGCAAATCACGTCACTACTCTGATCTCAGAAACTATCTGAGTTTATCTGTCAGACCTGGTATTAACATCCTTCCTGAGAGATATGATCACAAGCAGTTAGCATTCAGGTTGGTCTGTCCACACCTGCTTGGATCATAAAAATGAGTCTGATATATCATGAAACTGGCCCAGGCTGCGGCCCAGGATGCATTCAAGTTCACACAGCGAAAAGAATGTGGTGACATATATCCAAGACCACCTACGAACATGGTCTGAGTGATGGATCTCAGGATGCACTCAGGACACATTTAGGAATTCAGACCTGAACTTGGCCCTTGTGAGTGGATCACTCAGTGCAGATGTTAATGTCAGGCCAGCAGAATTTCCACTAAAAAGAGATGGTGACAAAAGTGTCAATATTCAGTCAAAGAGAAGCTTATACCTGTGACTGCAACAGCTTCAAGTAGCGCAGATCTCTGGCTACTTGTTATTCCATAAAGTTTTATCTGATACTCTGTCAATGGCGCCAGGCCTTCAAATCTAGAGCCAGTGGCATTTCCAGGAAGTTGGACCTCTCTCACATCCCATAATCGCTGAGGGTCTTTATATTCTACTGCAAAGCTATCATAAAGGCTGTGAGCCTTTAGTCTCCATGAGAGGTCAAATCCATCAGACGTGATGCCTGAAACAGTCAGCGTTCCAAGCTCATCCTCAGACTCCATCCCAGAGAACTGGGACTCAGAGGGCTCTAAATTTACAAAGCTAATCACATTGTCCTCCGAGGCTGTAGGAGTTGTAAGCTCAGCGTCGTCTGAATCAGCTAAATAAAATGTGAACGAGGCTAAAAGAAAAACAAAAAAGCACAAATGAAGACAGCATCGATTAGGTGAAAGTGCATCCCATTTTCATTGCAGCTATTGGCTGTAGATTTATTTCAAGCCATTATATCTTTTTACTTTTGATTCCAAAACCCAGTTTTTTAAGATTTAATCCTTAAGATTTCAGTCCTGATTGATTTAAAAGATCGACCGCTCGAACTCTTCTTAAGTAACGCCCTTGCAAAAATAAAGAAATTATTCAGGGATAAAAAAGTGACAAATATTGTCTTGCCTTGTGGAAGTATTCTGAATGAATGATCGTGGTCGGCATGAACCTCAGTGACAAACAACCCTTTCCTGTGGCTGCTTCACAACAAAAGTCACTATATTACATCAATTCAAGTCTTTTAATGTGAAGCAGCAGCGGTGTGCATTTCCAATGTTATCAAGCTCTGATACATGTTTGACTAAACACTGAGGTTTTTAAATCAATGAGTGAAATTATGCTGGATGACATTACAATTGATCAATTTATTGATTGATCCCAACACTCTTATACTTACCAGCTAAAAGGGAACCATCCCTTTAAATGAATCAAAACCTTTAAAATGTGAGGGACATAAAAGCTTATTTTGCATGAAAAATACATTTTCTTCTATTTTAAATGGCATGTGTTGTCATTGATTCAAAGATCCAACTGCATTAAAATAGTTCTCTACCCACCTGTGGCTGTAGACAGGATGACAGGCGTGCTTCTCTTGTGTCCCCTCTCTGCAGTCAACGTGAGAGTGTAGCCCATTCCAGGAGTCAGGCTGGTCACGACATGGCTCGTTGCAGTGGCCGGGATCTCCACCTCCTCGACCTGGCCGTCTCTGGAGACGTATACCAGCCTGTAGCCACCGAACTTGGCTGTAGGTTTCTCCCACTTCAAAGTGAGGGAGGTCTCTGTGGACTCGACTTCTTCAAAATCTCTGGGAGGATCGATGTCTGACAGAAGTGACAATAATAATATGAAGCAAATAAGTATGTTTAACTGCATGTAATTCTGCTTGTGTTGCATACCCAACACAACTCATTAATTACCTTTCACTCTATTTGTTTTGTTTTGTCACCAAAAGGCTTCTGCCGTACGTGCTCACATAGCCTATTCATAGATTTTTTTAAAGAACTGCAACAAAGAAAAGAAAGACAGTGTTCGTTCCTTTAACTCAATTAAAAAGTAGCGGCAAGTCTGCTGGAGATGCGATGCTACCAGCAGACTAATCACCTCGCCTAATGTGATTGGTGCATGTCAGGATATGGCGTAAGGCTCATCTGCCTAGGGTACATGTCTCTGAGTAGGCTACTGCGTAGCTTCGAAGCAGAAGCATTATGTGGGCATAGGCCTGTGTATTTATGACGGGTGTGAAGGAAGAGTGTTTGTGCAGCTGCTCGAAAGCGCCTCTCACCAGTTTCTGCATTTGTAGTGGCTGGGAGGCTCTCTCTCTCTATCTTCATGGCAGTAACACCAATCCCATACTCCGCCCCTGGATTTAGCCCTGCCGAACAGAGATACACAAGAAAAGTTATCCATGGCGTGACAGATTCAAGTTTTGAGCTTTCGCATGTTCATACTTAATGAAGTAAATGTTCATCTATTTGATCCTTACCAGTGATAGTAGCTTTTGTGGTGTCTCCTGGTCCTCGCAGGAACACTTCCTCACCGTGAGTTGCTCCAGAGATCGGGGTGTATTTCACCCGATAGATGCCGACATCAGCCTGACTGTTAGTCCACTCCAGAGTGATGCTGCTGTCCGTCTGAGACACGGGCCGCAGGTGCTTGGGGGCATCCAGAGCTGAGATACAAATATAACAATCCAATAGTATTTTAATATTTACACAGACAACAAATGTATTCATTTCAGTTACTATTAGACATTGGGCCACAGTATGAAAAACATATATGAGCATCCCAAATCATCTTTTAATAAATATTGATACTGTAAAATAACTGTGTTGTATCACTGAAGTTTTTCTTGTAATATTTTTTAAAAAATCTGGTGTTCCAGTTAAAAGAAGAATATTAAACCATACGTTTGTTTTTCATATACATTTATATCTTAAAAAAGCTAAACAGCTTGAAATAGTGTTTTTTTTGCAAATATAACAGCAGTAGAATAGTGTGGCTCACAATCTACAATCCAATTGTTATTAATTAAATAATTAATATATATACTCAGCTTTAAAGTAAATGGAAATATTTCTGCTATGACAAACCTACCTGTAGTGAAAGTGGTGATGACAGGGTCACTGCTGATGTTTCCACTGCTGGAGGAGACCATCACTGTGTACTCAGTGTCTGGTCTCAGACCATCGATGCTGTATTGCTTGTCTGGGGGGAAAATCTCTGCATTGCTTTCGTCTGAGGGGTCGGAAGTGGGCCTGTAAAACATGGTGACTCTGTCCATAGGAACAACTGGCTGAGTCCAGCTCACCAGTGCCGAGGAGTCTGTGACATCCTTCACCTCCACCTGCTGAGGGCCGTCAGTCTCTGGGGAAGGAGGTCATGTGAGGGTGGCAGGTGTTAAAAGTGAAACATATTTGAGTGTGAGAGAAAATATGCTGGAGAAATGATGTCCTTGACTATCCAATACCTGGTAATAACATTACTGACAGTGAATGTCTGACGTGCAATAAAAATGACACACAACTGTGAACATGGTTGACACAAATCAAGTTTTAAAGTTGCAGACAAAACCATAAGCAGCTGCAAGCTACAGATTCATAGTGTTTTAGCTTTGGATGGAATAATACTCACCTTTCTATATGCTAAGCTAATGATCAGCTGCTGGCTTCATATTTAATTACCATAAATATGAGAGTGAAATAAACACATTTCCCAAAATAAATTAACTGTTCCTTAAAGCTTCTTAAGGAGAAAAGTATACTTACATTTACTCATTTGACAGATTATTTTATCCAGAGTAAAAACTTAGGGACAACACTAAAGCTGCAGTACAGTAGCAGAGGTAGAAGTAAGTTCCAAGTGAAAGGAGGTGCTCTTGGTTGTCAAAGAATCACAAAAGAAATCAATCTGGATTTTAAGGAACATAAACCCGTATGACTGAAATTAAACAGAGTCACACTGTTGACAAACAATGAAGATTTGCGATTTTCAAGCTGAGACCAAAATGCTGCTATATATGGTCTGGACCATGAGTAAAAGTTTCACTGTGCATGAATAGAAGGCTGAATTGCATAGCTTATCAAAGGACTGATCTCTAGGAATAGCTGCAAAGAGAAAGCCTTTAAATTAATAAGTCAACTAGCTAACATCTAAGTCTAAAGAGGTGCAAGCCCAAGATTCTGTCTGTATGGCAGAAAGTTCAAGTAAACAAAACAATTCATGTAAAACTTACCTTGGCTTTCTCATAAGACAAAAGCCTGAGATTGGCTCAAAACAGGAAATACTATCATAAAATATAATGTTTCCTTGCACTGTGCCTTTGTGTTCACTATCTGACAAATCTCCTGTGTTTACGTATGGAGGAGATATCATTTTATGTTTTGGGACTTTCCTGATAGGACCTCAGGGGGTACAAGATTTAGCCTTAGTTCCATCATTCATTCCTGGGAGCAGTGTCAAGTTTCAGCTTAAACAAATACATGACATCAGAAATGAAATGGTGCGATACTCAGGGAGTCCATCGACACAGATCTGAAAACTAAATCACTTTTCCATGCACAAAGATGATTGCTTGGCCTGGCGTGTCGTACTTACTGCATTGGCAACTGAAAGTATTTCACAATGAAACGTATGGAGTAACACTGCAATAAAAGTTTCAGTGAGCAGAGGAAGAGAGCTAAGAGGAAGATTTAGAGGGAGAACTATGACATGGTCATGCTTGACTCAAATTCAATTTGCTTGAGTTATTACTCTTTACCTAAAATCTGTTAGATGGAACCACATAGAGCCAGCAGGGATTTCCTGTTTTTACTCTTCATTATGGAATTTCACTCTATGACATTATAGTATTTTTTTAGTCCAAGCTCAAGTGATGTGGAGATTATTTGTACCCAATCAAACTGCTGCCAGACAAAGCAGGAAAATTAGCTGGATATGCAGGATAGGTTTTTGAGCATCTATGATTTACCAACTGACTTTAGATAATCAGTGTGCTGAGAAAATGTTTTTCTTTTCCAGCGTGAAACTCACTGGTTGTGACTGTTTTGGTTGTTTGGGGTCCTCTTGTGTTATTCTTGATGATGTTGATGGAGACTTCATACTCTTGTCCTGGTCCCAGGCCTGACTGGAGAAACTGGTTTTGAGAGGATGGAAGGGTGCTCACCACTTTTCCATTTTCTTCTTTCTGCACAGACACATGATTCATAAACCAATGTAAAACATCCAGTAAAATGCATCCACACAGGAAAACAGGTAAGACACATACTGGCTGTAGTAGAATTATTCTACAAACTCCAGGTATTTAGATTCCTCCAATGCCTGAAACTAAAAAAAATTCTCATGAAACAAATCAAGTTCCTGCTGAAATGTATAAACAAATAATATATTAAGTAGTTAAGATATGTTTGGAATCCTCATTTTTCCTTTGAACGTGACTCTGTATGGAATCACATTTTAAAATTGGTAAAAACTCTGCAGAGGCAGTTCACTTTAGGAAGACCTCTTATCTGCAAGCACTTTAATTTCTTTTAAAGTTACTGGCTTGAATTCAAAGCAAAAAGGATTTACCCGAAGATGTAAGACGTCCAGACTTGCCCTCACTGAATTTTTCCATATGTCAAAATAATTTTAATGGTTAGTGCTGAAATAAATCCATGTTTTGCTGACAGTTCCAATAAGCTGGCAGAACCTGTCACTTTGCCTTTCCCTGTCAGATCATAAAAATTCTCGGGCAAGCCTTCAAAAGTGATGTGCAGACTGACCGTGTTGCGGAAATAGATCTCCCAGCCATCAAAGGAGATGTCCAGCTGGTCCCAAATTACTTCAACTGAGGTCTCTCTCACTGATTTGAATTTTAAACCCTCTGGCTGTGGGAGAGCTGGAGATATAGAAACAACAATCAAAACAGTTATTCATCTTTTTCCATAGTGATTCTAATTAAACCAGCTGACTCTATGACTGTGAGGTACCTGTGGCCACCCTGGCGCTGACAGGGACACTCCTCTTGTTGCTCAGGACAGCATAGACACTGATCAGATATTCGATGCCAGGTTCAAGCTCTTTAACAGTGGTGGAAGTTTTGTCCCCAGAAACTGTGTTCTCCTGGAGAAGACCCCCAGGACTGGTGGGTACATACGTCACAAGGTATTCTGTCACCAACATGTCGTTGTTCCAGGACAGGTCCACTGTGTTAGCGGTGACCTCGCCGACATTAAGGTCCTTTGGAGGAGACACTGGAAAATTGGAAAAAAAATTGCTGACACTTTCTTATAACCCCAATCACTAAATGTCCACCACTGAACGCTAATGTAAACTGCAGAGCCACATCTGGCTGTGGTGTGAGGAGCCGCCAAAAAACTGCGAACAAAGTGCAGACAGCAACAACACACACACTCAGAACCTTATTTTAAATTCACTGAAATAGTTTCTCAGAATGAGTTGTGAGTGTAGTTTGAGACAAGAAGGAAATGACATCATTCTGGATATGCTCATATACTACATCTAGTTGACACATGGAAAGAATCAAAAACTGCCAAAAACCTTTTTTTCCTGTATATTTGGACCAAACTTAACAGAGCTTCTTACCTTCAGAGCAGTCCTCTCCAATGTATCCCTCATCACAGACGCACTGACCGCTCACACAGCGGCCTTTGTCCTGGCAGTTGTTGAGGCAGCTGAGCTCTGCACAGCTCTCTCCTTCATATCCACTCTCACATGTGCACTTCCCGTTAATGCAGCGCCCCCTGTTGTTGCAGTTCTCTGGACAGGCAAGCACAGAGCAGTCATTCCCAGAGTACCCCTCCTGACACATGCACTTGCCATCAACGCAGTAACCTCTGGCCAGGCAGTCGTTGGGACAAGCTTTCTCACTGCAGTCTTCCCCAGTGAAGCCTTCGTCACAAACGCACTGCCCATCGATGCAGCGCCCGCGGTTCTTGCAGTTGTTTGGGCAGCTCAGTGCACCGCAGTCCTCACCAGTGAAGCCTGCATGACATGCGCAGCGTCCATCGATGCACTCGCCGCGGCCATAGCAGTTGGAGGGGCAGGTCATGATGCTGCAGTCTTCGCCAGCGAAGCCTTCATCGCACACACACTGGCCGTTAACGCAGCGCCCTCTGTGCAGGCAGTCGCTGGGACAGGAGAGCTCGGAGCAATCATCCCCCTGGAAACCAACATCACATGCACACTGTCCATTTATGCACTGGCCTCTGTTGTTACAGTTGTTCAGACATGCTAACTGGCTGCAGTCTTCTCCTTGGTAGCCTATGTCACAGATACACATCCCGTTGAAGCACGTCCCTCTGCCGTTACAGTCGTTGAGGCAGGTGAGTTTAGAGCAGTCCTCTCCACTGTAGCCGGCAGTGCAGACACATCGACCATCAACACAGAAACCGTTGCCTTGGCAGTTATTAGGACAAGTGGGTTCTCTACAGTCCTCCCCGGTGTAGCCCTCATCACAGTAGCAGGTGCCATTCACACAGCGCCCATGATCGTAACAGCCTTTTGGACACATAAGCTCGGAGCAGTCAAAGCCAGTCCAGGGTATGTCACACACGCAGTTTCCCTTATCACAGCGGCCGCGGCCTCTGCAGTTGTTGAGGCACTCGGTCTGAGAGCAGTCGTCACCAAAGAAACCATCTGAGCAAATGCAAATGCCTTCCACACACATGCCATGAGCTCCACAGTCCACAGGGCAGAGCTCGAGCGTGCAGTCCTCTCCAGAGAAGCCTTTAAAGCACTCACACTTTCCGTCCACACAGTGGCCCCGGTCCTGGCAGTTACCGGGACACTCGGCCTCAGTGCAGTTGGGTCCCTTCCAGCCAGGCTCACACACACAGCCACAGGTGTCAGTGCTGTAGTTTCCATGACCGTTGCAGTAAGGTTTTGTTCCTATTTCACCTATGATAAAGAAAGTAAAGGAATATTTTGACACTCATTTTGTTGTTATGAATCCTGTGGCATGGAATTTTTCACAACAATGTCAGTCTCAAGCAGATAGTTAGTTAGTTTAGCATCAAGACTGAAAACAGGTGGGGGAACAAGAACTATCCTTGCTCTGTCCATACAAGGTAAAATCCACTTACTAACATGTCTCAAGATCACAAATTAATATGTAATGTATTGTTTGTTTAATCTGTGCAAAAATCCAAGTTTTAAAGTAGAAAGTTATAGTTTTCTGGGAGGTTATGAGTGGGATTATTTCTTGTTTGTGTGCCATTTTGTCTTCCTACTTTGCACAAGAGTGAATACAATTATTTCCCAAAACGTCAAACTACTCATTCATGAATACATCATTTAGATGTGGTCCAAGGCTTATTTTTGGCAGCTACAAAAGAACACTTATTACTTTTATTGATATTACAGCAGTTTTTGTCCTCTACTGTATGATGGAGAAATACACACCCCCTCATTGAATTTCAAAGAGCTGTCTGACAAATGGATGGAACAGATGTGCTGAACTGAAGGAGACTCATGGGTATTCTTAATGGAGCACTTTTCAATGCAAATTCATAGAAATAATGGATTATCTTACTGTCGTTGCTGTAATATACAAATATAACTGACAGACAAATCACACCCACCTGTGACCTGTGCACTGCAGCAGGGCCTGTCGCTGGTGCACTGATCTCTCAAAGCTGAAACTTCTCCCTCAAGCATCTCCAGGCGGCTCATGAGCTCTTTCAGGCCGGGCAGGTCGTCAGCGCAGCCGCAGGCCTGACGAGGTATATTGATGCGGTGGGTGAACACGATCTGGTTCTCCCCGTCGACGGTGTGCTCAGTGATGTGATGGCCTGACGAAGCTGGCGAATCTTTGGGAAGAAGCTGTGTGCTCTGTGGGGCGTCCAGGTCTACTGAGCACAGCGAACTGGCAGGAACATTGATGTTATAGACGTGGTTGAAAACCACAGGATGGTCTGCACTGGGGAGGGTGACGTTATGTTCATTAGGGGCTACCAGAGTCTGTCTTCGATGACGTATGATTTTCTTAACAAGCCCAGCAGTTGATAAGCTGAGCAGAACAGTCAGGAGGAAGCAGCCCAGGAAGCTTCTTCTACCCATGGTAGGTGTGAGGATGTAAATTTACAAAAAATAAATATCAGCTTAACCTCTGACTAAAGGCTGACCCTGGTTAATGGTGAAGGTTCTGAAAAACAGATAGACAAACAGACAAATGCAACTTCAATGTAATGTAATTTTGAATGCTTAATATTCATCATTAAAAAAAGACAAGCAAGAAAATCTGTATAGTAAAATTTGCCAACCGACCACTGTCAGCCCAACAGCTGGTGATACATTCCTACTCATGTATGTGTGTGTGGAGAGCCTGATGCAAAGAATGCCAAATCAGCTATTTGGGATTATTTGGGCTTTAAATTGGATGCAAACCCTAAATCGAACAATGTGTCATCTTTGGAAACGTGTATTGCCGGCAAAAGTTTCTAAAACAACTAATTTCCCCCACTCGAAATTAAAGACCAAATTATCCTCTTTTTACCCAGCCTGAGTTTACAGATGCATCCAATGATACATTCTCACCACACAAACTGTCTGACGCTGGACTACGGATGTGTCAGTGTTTCCGAAACAATCCAACATTCTCACTCACGTCATATCCTGACTGGTCTTCCAGGACTTCCAAGAGAATGCAGTCTGAAAATGCAGCTCCCCCCATTTATGATACAAGCTAACCACAAACACATTGTCCAACATGGTAAAAGGAGCCGACCTCTAAACTGCACTAACAGAATACTGCAAGACTCTTCCCCACACAACAGAGCTGAAGATACTAAAGCATATCCAGCTGCTTTTTAGTCTGCAGTGTTGGAGATCAAGAGCAACTAAATACAGTACTGAGCGAAAAGCAAGAAACAGCCGTACACAGCCCTGATTCATTGCTACAACAAATATGATTTATTGCATGTAAAGTATTAAATTATGGAGACAGAGAACATGTAGTGCTGATTGAGAAAGGATTTAACCCCAAGAATTTACACTTGTGTTGGCACATCAACTTCATTCACAGCACTGCTGCACATCAGCTGTTTTTCATGTTACAGTGTATTAACTCTGCTGTATTTATAAAATAATGTGAAAACCTGAGAAGAATAATCCTGTAGACACCACTCCTATTCGCCCACGAAATTGCTCAGATGACTTCATCAGCTGGACACGAGGAACACTATAATTTGTGGGATACAAACTCAAAGTAATGAATAGATTCATCCTCAGCGTGGGAAAGCCTCACACAGTGCTGAGTATCCAAAACTTTGGGTAAGCACAGGAGAATACCGGCTTCCTCCTCACTACTGGAAACAACTTGATTTATTACTCTTAGATACCAATGATATGATATCTTATTTAGTTCATCTCTGTCTGTCTATTCCCATACACATACCTCTTATCACCTTCACATATGTACGTATGTGTATTTTTGAGGGCTCAAAGTACTGCAGTATCAAATTTTGCACGATTTGGACACATGCTACATTCAATATTAATAACCTCTGAATGAACAGATGACCAGCTCAGTGTAGCAGCAGCAGCTGGGACTCATCAACTCATCATGACAATGGCAACTGATTCTCTAGCTCAGGTCGCGCTTCACTGAATCTTGAATAAACAGGTGAACAGCTCCTTGTGCAGCAGTGGTGGTGCAGCGTCAGGATTCTGTGGACTAAGTCCAGCAGCCAGTCTCTACTTACTGGGGCTCAATTACTGCAGGTCACTTTTACAGTTTCAGAAAGAAATCACCGAAGGCCAAGAAAACGGCCCATTCCAAACAGACATGTTTAGAACGAGCACTGGAGTAGTTATATACCAAGAGCAATGATGCCATTATCAACACAGACATACCAAAAAAAAAAACTGCAAGGTAGATTTGCAGGTGAGTGTACTGTGTGTGGTCCACAACTTGTTCCTTCAAACCTCAGTCTGGCTGACTTCAGTATCTTTTGTCAAACATCTCATCAAACAAGCAACAAATGTTGACATGTCTATCCATCCTTCCATCTATCTATCCCTCCATTCTGCTTTCCAACTATAGGTGCTTTCAGACATGCACTGAACGCAACTTTTCCTGCCTGTCGCCATGTTACTGTTTGTAACACGACAGACAAAAAACAGGACGGATAAAAATATCTGTTTTGATCACTTTGTTGATTTAACTTTTTTATCCATCTGTATCTATCTCTGTAGCTTATCTGTCCATCCATCAACCTGTCTAACCACCTGAAAGGATGTCTGCCATCTGGTTCACCCTTTTGTCAGCTGCTATGTCTGGCTGGCAGAAAACCACACCTCTGTAAAGGGGTTGCATTTCTGCCAGTGACGGATTTATGGGATAGGTGCAGATTTTTTTGTGCGAGCACTGCTGACATGCAAACCAGGGAGATATGACTTCCACAAGGGAATCGCCCATGCAGTTATGCAGTAGAAATGAAAAGGCATGTGGTGCACTCAAGAGTTCTCATGAAATCGCCTGGAATTTTTATTATCATTACATAGATGGTGATACTCAGCAGTCAGGTAACAAAGATGCTCAAAGGAGCTTAGTGTTTCAGGCATCTCAGTGTAACCATGACTGCATTCCATCTTTTTCAATGATTTTTTCCCCCCTTGACAAGTATATTTATTATAATAAAGAATCCTCAAGAGATACAAAATCAAAACAGATCATGCCCCCTCCCTCCACAAGTTCCTGAATATTTTCAACCTTACAAATCGAAGATTGTTACATGAAGAAAGAAACCAAACCTTGCCTCAAAAGTCAGCCAGTCTTCCTCCACCTCTGATGAGCAGAGGTCAATACGATGCAAGATTTACTACTAACCTTTAACTATATGGTCTGGCTGTATAGAAGACATTTTGAGCTCAACCTTATTTGTTAAAGATGTCGTCAATCTTCCCTCGTATATGAAATTTCTTAACTTACATCCTCACAAACAATTTCAAAAATTATCTATTAATCCATACAAACCATCTACAATCACTGCTTTACTTGGAATGACACTTACACTTGGATTACCAAATAATATGACAGACTTAACCCTGTTTGTAATACTTTAAGCTTGACACCTGATTATGTTGGTTTGTTTTTTCTCTCCGCCAAGTAGGTTATGTTGTCACCCCTGTCCATTGTCAGCCGGATTATGCAGAAACTACTGAATGGATTCTCACAAAGCTTGGAGGAAGGATGGGACAAGGGCCAAGAACTATCCCATAACATTTCGGCATGGATCCAGACAAAGCAGCGAAGCCAAGATGTTTTTTTTCACTTTCCTAAACATTGCTTGATTTCACAGCCATATTTAGGGAACTGATATCCAACAGTGTGCGTAATTTGGTGCTACTGGATTGAATTTAAGGTTCAATGCATTCTTAGTGCTATTCTTTTTGTGTTCTTTGGTTATTAGTGCCTATATCTGGGAAACTGTATTTATTGGCACAAAAACAAATGTATCTGAAAACCCCTCCATAAGTATTGAAACCTCATGTTAGCCAAACCCTATTGTTCAAATGTAATTATTTAATGAATATACCATTATACTGTGAGTCTGCTGTATTTAATAATATCATCTATCCAACTCTATTGTTGATATGAATTCAACATTTAAAATATAAACAATCCATCCAATAGGATTCTCCAATATCACAGCCTTTTAAGTGGCAAATTATTGTCACTCATCCACTATAAATTTTTTTTACTGTTATTATCAGACTGGTTCTGGTGTAAGTGTCTGCATTCACTTTGTGGACAATTTCGAGGAGAACTAGAATTGATTTTACTGTACAAGAAGCCTAAGATTTACATTTGAAGAAAACCACAGGTGTTTTTTTGAAGATTAGAGACTGGATGTTTCCTTATTAGGCAGCATCATATATTCTTTTTACCAATATGACAAACAGTTTTCATAACTATAACCACAGTGCCTTTAAACTGTTGAAGTCAAGATATATGTACAAAGACGCCTCATCAATCGTCTCCTCTTCCTCTTTATTGTCCTGACCTTTGACCTCACCTCTGACCGGATGAACTCTCTCTCTCTTCAAGTATTTATACACTCCTTCAAGTGATCCATTTTTGAGCTCGAGTTTCACACTTGGACATCTGCTGAATGCCAAGGAAAAGGCAGGTCAGAGCTGGTGTTACAAATCTGAAAACTAGGTCTCGTAACGTGTTTCTGATCTCCCTCTAGTAAACTTTACAAGACACAAAAGACTGATCATTTACAGGGTTGGAGGTAAAGAATGAGTCCTTTCAAATCCTCAGCTTCCCTCTAACTACATATGTTTGGTGTTAAGATGCTCTTGGTTGCTTCAAAAGTGGCTTAATTAATGTTTATATGTTCATTGTAAATTAGTCTGAATGTTTTTGAGCTGTGCTCACCAAATTAAATATAAAACTAAGATGTCAAAGAGCGGTGGAAAATGTGTGGAGGCAAAAAAGCCTACATTTATAAATTCATCAATTATTTATAATTTCAATTCATTTCTTCCAAGCTACGTTAGCAATTATTAAATGTGTTGTATTGAGTGTTTGTGTTTCCTAATCGGATTTTAATGCTATTTGTATGGTGTCCTTGAGTGTCTAGAAGGATGCTGTGAAATGAAATGTATATCTTTTTTATTTTAAGACATATTTAATCATATGTGAACTGATCCATTTGGTGAAAGAAAACTGGAAAAAAAAATTCTAAAAAAATTACACATATTTAACATATAACATATTTGGATCATTAATTTTAAATGTATGTAACTTTTTATATAGTTTATAGTCCACATCTTCATATGACAGTAAAGCATCAATAAATACATGGACCCAGGAGGATGGAAGGAGTAAATAAAAAGTAATTGTATACTCAGTTTTTGTCATTTAAATTTGTGATAAAATATATATAAATTATATGCCAACATAAGACATAAGCTTCTTAGCTACAGTGGCACTGGTTTATCAGATTACGAATAAACAACCTCCTGCAGCACAATCCACTGTTTGATTTACTGTAGTTTATAGATGTATAATGTATCCAGACAGCTCACACCAGATTAAACTAAGTGAAATAAGTCATTTGTAATGTTACCGTGTGACAAAGGTGGTTTTATATCCAAATATCCGTCATTTAAAGCTGACCTAAGGGTTGACCGAGGACATTTCTTTAGGCTATTGGGACATGGGAAGAAAATTTGGAGAGAAAATTGAAATAAATATAACCTGTTCACTAAACTATAATCCAGAGTTGCTGTATCTCAGTGCTTTTCCCCCTCCTGGCAGTGAGAAGGGAACTTTTCCGCGTGGAAAAGAGAAACTGGGAATGTTGGCCCTTGACTGACGACATCTGTTTTGCCGAGTCAAAGAAAAAAACCCCATCGAGATTCTGTGTCCTGTGTCCAGACAACAGCTACGTCTCATAAAACGGCATTATTGCAGGGTGAATTTGATTGTCTCCATGTATGCCATCATCCAGATGAAGGTCTGATTCTGGTGACAAAACACAGTCAGGATTCCACTCTGATTTAAAACGCCAACATTCATGAGAACAATACACAGACAACATGTCTGGACACACTTCTGATGGGAAGCATTTGTGGCCAGGAGAGGGTTGTCTGGACTCTGGTCAGTGGTGGTAAATTAAGTGCATCTGCTTTATATGTTCATCTGTGATATTTCAGCTTTTTTATTTTCCAGGAATGGCACAAGTCTGATTGTCTTAGCATCTGGAACAGCTGGAAATCGCCTCAGAAGAAAAATAATTAGAGTCGTTACTGTAGCCGATAAAAAAATAACAGAAACTGCAACACCTCGTTAACAGATCGCAAATCAGATATTCTCAATTGATCAAAAGTATAAACTTGTGCGTTATTAGTCTGAACAGGATGCTGAATTCAATTTGGATTAAGAGATTAAGTGAGAAATTATTAAATTACTTTGGTTTCAGCTGGTTTGGTTCTTAAATGTATCATATTTGGACCAAAAAATCTGAAAATGTCACTTTGCACTGCAACATTGTAATGGACATTTAAAAAAAAAAGTCATCAGCAGATTAATCGGCAATGAAATTAAAACAGTTTTCATTTTCGGTTTTCATTAGCACAGTGAAATTAAACACATGAAATCAGGGTGATGGATATTGGTCAAGAAAAGCAACAGATTTGAATAAGCTAGAAACAGCTGTCAGTGCTCACAACCTCCACACCTGAATCTGGACAGATTTACAAGGTTGCAGGACCCACATGCTGCTGTTACATAATATTAAACACATATGTAGTGAAGTATTCTGTCCTGTAAAATTAGGACTTCACTTCATAACTTTTGACTTAAGATAAAAACAGACATTATCTGTACATAACCCTGTACAATGCCCTCGCTAACCCTCACTGTCACCACTTTCAGGCCACACAACTACACCTCTGTTTCTCCCTGGAATTTGGGACAGTGAAAAAAGATCCAACACACTTTACATAAAATGCAGAGGCGTTTGAAGCTGAATTACAATCAACCCCTGGCTCTTTGTGTAGAGGTCACAGAGAGGGGAACAGTGTAGGACGAGCCCTGGGGGATCTCCAGCAAATAAACCAGCTGTCCCTTTCACAGGGGTTTGTTCAGCGAGACACCTTTCACACTCTGCTGCACAGGCACTTCCCAGGATGCACGGCAGACAAGATGCAAAACATCCTGGCCCCCATATCTGCAGATGTGTCATGATGTGCATTTTAGATAGGAGTTGCGGGGAGTGGGATGAGTCTGTACATGAGGAAATGAGTGATTATAATCTTCTTCAGCTGAAATATTCATTTTTGCTGAGTGTGGACTGGAAATGGTGACTCAACCCCACCACACAAAGGATATAACAGACGTTTAAACCCTGTAAACCACAAGACTTTGATTTCAATTAAGCAGCACTAATGGGCTGAGCGGATGAGGTCTTTTTTCCTCCTAGCCCACACTCAGAAATCCTGTCAAGCATCACCCACTCTTCCCATCTTTTCATCTCAATAATGGAAAAATTGAACACAATGAAAACTCAACTGCACTGCTCAAGGTAATGTGATGAATCATCAAGCTGCAAAACCTCGCCAAATCAGGGATACTAAACTTACACAATGGAGAGTTTTGTGTATGTTTTGGACACTGGTCTACAACCTTGACTAAATCAGTGAGAAGGTTTCTGGAGTGTGCTGGTCCTTCTACTACAGTTATCAAAGCTGTGGATAGCTCTTTCACATCCCTCAGCAGTCAGTCATCACCTCTGATCGTGCCAATGGCTGCTGTGTGTGTCTGACTGAGGAAGAAGTTGCACTATACACCAGGAATGTAGTTATAATAAGCTATAATATGTGCCAGACAGAAATCTACTACAGTATCAGCAAATGTTGTATGTGACTATAAATGTCTATATTTTGAGGTGAATATTTCTAATTAAATTTAAAGAGAATTTAACTCCAAAAGCACAAAGAAACTCATTTAAAAAGTCAAGAAAAATGACTTTTGCTGCACGGAATTCAAGGAAAGTTGAAATCTATAAAAAAGGTTTTCTTACCTGTGCCCCACACGCCCCAGCATGTAAGATGAGGTGTTCCTTTGAGTCTTCACACCTTCAGTGAAGCCAAGAAAACAATACGGTGCCCTGTTGTCTTGCAGCTTCTCCAGCAAAGTGGCAGCTCTGTCAGTCGTCTCTCAGCCAGCTGCTTATCCTCCCCTCAGCCTTCACAGCTCAGACCGGGCTTCAGCTCCTTCACTGACAGAGAGGGACAGCGAGAGAGTGGGAGTAAATGTCTTTTAAAGTGTGAGTGTTTAGGTCTGACCCCCATTGCTTTTTAACTCCATCCCTTAAATAGCCGTCATTTTCCCTCCCTCCACAGTCCTTTCTTCCCTCCCTCTACTGCAACTAATGGATACTGCGCTCGGCTGATGCCAGTGTGACTGGGAGTCATGAAAGAACGCGCGGTGCTTGTGGTTGAGCAGGAAAATTAGAGGGGAAAGACTGGGAATGAGAGGAAAGTGAATTCAGACTGTGAGGGCAGACAGACGTTTCCCTTGAACCATATTAACTTTAAGATAATGATTTATGATTCCAGTCTGCACAAATATGGCTGAAAAAATAATCTTGAATCGTTCAATTTTCTCCAACTTCATGTCATTTATCAGGAAATTGTTCCTCAATCATCTAAAGTCTACTTATTTTCATATTTCACACTAAATCCCTCAGCTCATAAAGAATCACAGTGTGAATCTTCCTCCAGCTCTGTCATAGTGCTGGATGGATCATTTCATATTTTAGGCACTTTTAACTGAACTGAAGAAAGAAATGCATGGCAGATTCTCTAATTGACTAGTAAGTAAATATCCAACTGGTAATACATTAATAAAACTATAAAGTAAAAGAGGATAAGTAACAGAGAGGAAATGTTTTCCTGCTTTAACAGTTTATTTCTTGCACAAACACTTACATTTTTATACATTTAACAGATGTGAAGAGCAGGAAACAGATTAAAATAAATGCATGCTGCTGTGAGGGAATATGTGACAAGTTGAACATGAATGTAAAACTGTGAGACTACTTGAAGCTCAGCTGGTGACACAGGCAAAATGCCACCATACGGACTCAAGACTCCACACAGTTTAATCTTAATATGATTAAATGAGGATAAGGCAAGCATCAGCTTAAATCTTTAAAGTGAGTCTGTTTCAGATAAAAAGAAGCAGTGCATGTTGTTGTTTTTGTTTGTTTGTTGTGAATACGGATATATAATAGACAACTTAAACTGAATGGGTTTGATTCAAGGCATGCATTTCTAATGGAGGCCAGTTATACTGTTCATTTTGTGAGGTCCTGTGAGCAACTCAGTTCAGGGATTTCCAACAACAACATCAAAACTCTGTACCAGCGGTGCATTTAAACTTGGCAAAGACACACGTCTGAGGTTTCCCTTGAACACTGTGCACAGAACAATGATAGAAGCCGGATTTTAGACACAAAAGAGGCTAATGGGAATTCTTAGTTCTTCTGATTGTTCCAAATGTCTTTAAAATCCTTCCAATTGCTGTTCAGACATTTAACTCAAACCCACACGTTTTAATGGTAAAGTTTTCACCCATTTTTTTTGTGTGGGCCTGGAAAATTTTGGCCCAGATGCAGATTAAGGGGCAGATCCACAATTAGTTTTTTCCTTTTTTTAACATAGCAATACTTGGCATTTTGAAAATTTCTGCAAATGTTCAATTTCTTGTGTATTTCTACTAGCGGAGAGTCAGTTGTCCAAATTGAACCAAATCTCAGTCTGCACTTTGTCGAGCCCTAAAAAATGAACATGCCAAGTATAAGATAAGAAGAACAGTTCAGATTTTTAGTATTGTTAAATAGATTATCTTTCATTAAGTACACGTTGTCTTACTTTGGGCCTGATGGCAACATAAATGTTAACTTGTTCGGGTATCAGGTATTGAGAAAAAAAACTAATTCTTCGTACATCATCCTTCACTCCACCCTGAAAGATTTCCCTTATATACTGAGGACCATTCTGGTTGTTGAGCTATTTTAGTTTGGACTGAAGTGGTGGACTAAAAGACAGACCTTGCCATCGCTCCATGCTTGTAGCGAGACTAATAAAGGCCTGCACTCTGAAAATAAAATGTTACATAAACAGAGGAAGGAGGTTAAGAAAGGACAGTGAATGATAAATAATTTGATTACTGGTCACAATACAAGCTGATTTGTGTTAACTGCTGTTGCTGTAATCTCAGTTGTCACAATAATGAAGATTAAGGCCACGGTTGAAGTATTCTTTCATTATCATCCCTTTATTCAATATGGACACAACAACTTGGTCTATCCTATCAGAAAAAAATGTGATATTGTAAATAACTGTTTCTCAAGGTTACTCATTTGAATTGGACCTTTACAAGAGTTGGTATTTAGGCTTGAAATTATTATTCCATCATCAAAATAGGCTAGCCCAAAGATTTTTTTGAATTCATATTTTGTTGGTGAGGAGTTACATTTTTTTTTTTTTACTAATATCGTAGGTACCACACAGAGTGTTAAGTATGTGAACAAGCCCTTATAAATATACTGTATGTAAATATTCTTTTAGAAAACGTGTATCTGAATTTGGAGATTTTAAGTGCACGTCTGAATGCAAATAAACAAAGAGCATAATCTAATCCAGCGCCTAAATGGATTTGTCACTTTTCATTGCTTAGTGGCAAACGAAGCCACAAAAATACAAAGACACTATACTGTCTGTACTTGTAATTCAAAACAGGAAGCGTGTGCATGTCTCATACAGAGTTCAACAATGTGTTAACGGTCTTCTTATAGGCAGGATGATAAAATCATAAAATCTGCTACCATTCATCAAATCAAGTCTTCTGCTGAGTTTCAGAAGACCCCAGGGATCTGGTCTGAGGGAGGGTCTCTGAAGACTGAGAAAATGTGTGTGGAACAAAGTAAATAGGTCACACTGTGGCCCCTTTTAATTTAACGCTCCACATGTGTTTCACACGCACTGCACACTGCAATACAGCCCATGTGGTTCAGACCCAAACCACTGAACATTTGCAGGATATTGCTACTGACGCTATAATCAAATGTCAGTTTATTACAATAGGAAAATGAAGAGAAAAATGAAATAAGACACATAAGTAATGATGTTTGCTTCTTAAAAAGAATTACACACATCAGTGAGAAGCAATTTAGCAGATGATCATGGGGGGGCAGTATCACAAACTAATGTATGTTGGGGGTTTTAGATCACAAGAACAATGATGACGTTTTGAAGTGAAACTCAGAGGTTGTTCACCTGATCTACTGTGGAGCATGTTGATCTGCCATTGCCATGGTTTCTATTTCCAATGCACAAAAGGGGGAGTTCACAGGGAGATATTCTGTTTACGCTCAGGGATCAGTTGGTCATCAATGTGCCACCTTGTGGATATACTTTGTAATGCTCTCGATACACATTACGCAAGCAAGTATGTGAGCAATGACACTGGCCTTATGCACTTTATCTAAAAGAAAAAAGGAAGTCCTTCTATTTGAAGGGAGAAAATCAATGAACCATTTCACTTGCCACTGAATTATCGTCAAGAATTTACTACAAAATGAATTCCCTCGTTCACTACCATCAATCCTGTAAGCCGCCTCCGCTTGTTTGTTGTCTGTCTCAACTTTCTGCAATTGGTCTGAAAGTCTGAACTAAATAATGTTCTCACACAGCAAACACTCTGAACTATAGTACGGTTTGATCCAGACTCAAACCACCTTTGTCGGACAAAATTTTGGTCCATTGGTCTGGACCGTGGTCCAAGGCACCTTACAAACCTTTTATTTTGGCTTGAACTAATCGGGGAATTGAGAAGGTCCAGACCAAAGAAGGTAGGTGTGAAAGCCCCCTTAGTCCAGACCGAAGTGGTGGACAGACCCTCAAACAGTCCAAACACTACCCTGAAAACAATGCTAGCAACTCAAGCCAACTCTGTAGGTCAAACACACATGAAGAAATCTGCTGAGCAGATGGCTCTATGAGGAGACCAAGACCAGACCAAAACCAGTGACTGTTAAAACAACACAGGTGTTCTTGTGTTGGAGATTAAAGTAGGCGTTACTGACACTTATGTTCCACAACTTTAAAAGGATCCAATTCCTGATCCTGAGCTTTGATTCAACATATGGCCAAAAAATATGAGTCTAAAATATAGACTAGAAGAAGAACTCAGCTTTAGCTTCAACATGGCAGAGATAAATGTGAAGTTAGGATTTAAGAGAAAAGTAAAGCATAGGATTTAAGAACACCCTAAATACATAGCAACAAAGAAAATCAAATTTGGAAACAATAGTTTTTAAAATTTTTAAGATGGTTAATTGGTTCAACCTGCTCAAATGTAAATATGAATGTTTTTAGGAACATGTGACAGTTAGGGGGCCATTCAGTCTAGAGCAGAGTTTTTAGATAGTGGAGTTTGATTATCGATAAATCAAACAGATCAATAGTAACTTGATCATCTTTGAAGTAACCTAATTTAAGAGGTTCCCAAACATCCACAGTTTGTATATGTAATACCATAGGAAGATATGTATGTATAAGTATATGTTTGTAAATTAGGGGTGTCTCGCAATCCCAAGTAGGTATGGGCTAAATGCATTAACATGACATAGAAATAAAATATGGATGCTTCAAAACACTGGATGTTTACACACTGGATGTTTACACACTCCATGTGACACCCAAGAACCTGTCAAAGACTGATTTAAAATAATTGAAATAAGACAGGCAGAGATACATCTAACCACCCTGCCAAAGAAGACTTCTGTTACTGATGTTGATGATACTTACATAGTGTTTATTTACGTAGGGTGTACAATCAATGTACAATCAACTTTCAAGTGGCTTTAATTAAGGAGGCATACTGTATGTTCTGTTTGATCTTTACTAGTTAAAGAGGACAAACCTGAGGAGGAAACAACAGGGAGCAGTATGACTAAAAACAAAGTTATAGTAATATTAAACCCAACTTGGAACTTCTTGGTGACCTGCCTCACTTGTCTCCATGCACAGTTTAGATATATATTTACAGCAGTGCCAAAGTCCAACTATCCCTTAATTACAGATTTAACTGCACTGAAAAGGGATGTTCAGTGACTTAGAAGTTTCCTTATAAACATCACTGCACTTGTGCCTTTCAATCAACTTTTCTTGGAGTTGTTCTTGGGTCCTTTACAAAGTAGAGTCAAGCCAA